TTTATGTGTGTGTGTGTGTGTGTGTGTGTGTGTGTGTGTGTGTGTGTGTGTGTGTGTGTGTGTGTTTCACTATCAAAGGAATGTGATTTCCGGGCCCACACATCGTCTGAGGGCGAGCATAGCTTTGGAAAGCTGGACTTGGACTTTTAAAACTACCCTAGTTTCTAAAAGTTTTCCCACGATGAATCTAGGAGACCTTGTCCCATGCAGTCAAAATGTGTCCCGAGTGTGACAAGCAGGCTTGGTTTTGTGAGTGCAAAGAATGAGGCTGTCATTGTTTCCACCAGGCTTTACAACTAAAACTTGCCGTCAGTCAGTCAGTCTGGTTTAAAAACAAAATACACAGGGGAGGGAAAGAAAAAAAAAAAAAAAAAAAACCTCCCGAAAGGTCAAAAGACTGTGAAGTCCCTTTTGAAGCTAACTTTAGAGTCCCTGACTGGGAGGTCCCTCGAGTGTTCGTTGAGTCGTGGACTAGAGTTGGCTTTTCTGTTGTGATTTATGTGGAGTGGCTCAAAACAGAAGTTAATGGCTTGGGGAAGCTGGCGGGGGGGGGGGGTCGCTGCTGCGCATGCCCGAGAGCTTCCTCGAGTTTGTTACTCCACATTCTTTCAGACCCAGACCGCGGCTGCAGTTCCAACGACTGCAGTTCCAACGGAACACGGTTACGGTGGCCACCGCGGGGCGCGCGCACACGCACACATACACCCTGGGGTTCCTCCGATGTAGTTCCGTGAGAGACCCTGAAACATAGGGAACTCATGAAGACCCCCGGTACTGGGTTAAGTAGGCCTCCCTGCCCTTCTCCGTCCTGGGACAAGGAAGACTGGGCGCTTAGAGCTGGGCAAAGTTTTAACTGAGTCCTGGGGAAGGCTTGGGGTGGGGCTGGGGAACCTCTGCAGAGCCGTGTCACCCACCCTTTGACAAGACTGACAGATCTAGACCCAGTGGGAGGCGTTCCGGTTCAATGGCAGGCACCTACATGAGGGTGTTTTGGTTTTGAGCGGTGCGGAAGGCAAAACTGGGTTTCCGTGGGTGGGGAAGGGGGCCTCTTTCTCAGTTACCACCCACTTGGGTGTCCCCTTCCCCAGATGCAATGTCTGGGGAAAACATCAGAGGTCCCCGGCCCAGAGCGTGTCAATCCCCAGCTCGTGGAAACAATGAACCATGATGTGTTGGAGGGGAAACTTTGCTGCTGCTACTGCGGCCGGCAGCTTCAGGGCTTCTGGTGGGGGGAGAGAGCCGAGACTGCTGAGGTGGTCAGGGCTCCTTTCCCTTTTTAGGCTTCCCCAGCACATGGTCTGGATGGGGGCAGACCCCTGAGGCAATGAGCCGCACCGCCCCGTTTCGAGTTCCTTAGGGACCACGGCCCAGTTCGGTTGCTAACTCGTACAGTTAGCCAGCGGGCTTCTGGAGGGGCTAAAGAACTCCAAAGAACAAAAGCTGCTTGCTCTCCTCGGGCTCCTCCCTCTCCTGCGAGCCTCCACAGCCCTGCCTCCCCCGCCCCCCCCATCCCTGCCTGAGACTACCTGGGAGGGGAGGGTAAGCTTCCCTGTCCTTGGGCCAGGACTGCTTAAACCTGCCCCGCCTATTGTCTGTTTTAGGAAAGTCTGAACACCCTTTCTACTTACTTAGAACAAAGACTGGTCTGATAATAAAGTGCCTTCGTGTAGAAAGCCGAGGTGGCCCGAAAGAGCTCCAGAAATGGCTGGAAGAAGGCTCGTCTAGGAAAGCCCCCAGTGTCCTGGCGGGGTCTCCAAGCCTGTTGAATCAGTTTAGGACTGGGCTGAGCGGCTCTGTGGATTTAAGTGACTTGGGTGTGAAGTTCCATCTGAGTTACTTGTCCAAAGGGAGACTTGTTAAGTTTGTTTCTTAAGTCTTTCCTTTAATCTCCACCACACACACACACACACACTTTTTCCAGTCTGCATTAGGTCTTTAAAATCCAAGCTCTCTCCTACCCTCAACCCCAAGGTTTCAGAGCTTCAGAAAAAGAAAGTGAAGAAGCAAGATATGCTTCCTAGAGCCATGGGATGGATGGATCCGCGGGCCATCTTGTGGCTTTCTGAACCTTTCCTTGTATGTGGGTAGAGTAAAAGACTTGTGATTCTGTCCCACGCCCGCCTCGCTCCCTCCCCACGTGTAAGCAAAGCGAGACTATTGGAAACTAGTCCTGACCGGGAAGCTTCTCAAAAGCTCTGTTACAGTAGGAAATGAGTAACAAGGAAAAAAGCCTTTGTTTTTCCAAGTCGAGCCACAATCGGGAGGGAGTTTTAATGAAAACAGCCCTGACAGTAGCAAACGTGGTCTAACAGGGCTGAACATATCAGCTGGCCTGCCCAAGGCACCGAGTCTTAACTTCCTGTTCCTTCAGCCTTTGTGTGTGCTTTGGAAATACTTGTAAAGAAGGCCTGTCTGTCAGTCTAGACTCTCTCTCTCTCTCTCTCTCTCTCTCCCTCTTCCTCTCTTCTCCCCTCCTCTCTTTTTTTTCCTTTCTCAAATGAACAGAGGTAGCCGTTTGGCATTGCTTAACTGAAACCTGCTTTGTGTCCCTAAACCTATTCTGAAAGAATGTGCTTCTTGTCAAACTCAAGCGATCAGATCAAAGGGCAGGCGTTAGAGGGGTTTTGTTTCAGGCGCTTTGTTATTGCCAATTTACAGTTGGGAATTGGCTGTTCAATGAGCAAACTTTCACACTTTTCCCCTCCTAGATGTAAAAAGAGGGGGCAGGGAATAGAGTGTCTTGCCTTTTCTGAAGTTGGGTGAGTTGAAGCAAATTGCTTTATTCCAATGCTCACAGCTACCCAATTAACCTGACGTGTTTAAAAGCAAGATTTCCTTGGTTATCAAAGCAAATGTGAAACAGGAACTCGTTTATAATGGTGGGTTTTTTTTTTAATGGTTTTTCACCCAAATTTCAATATGGGACTTTTAAAATTCAGATTCTGTACAGTGGAAATACTTTCGGTTTTAAAATCACCTTCTTTAGACTTTTTTCTTTCTCGAAACATTAATTGCACCTTCAGGAGGGAGCACTTGAATTGCATGGCGGTTAAACGTGAATGGTTCCTGTGGCTCATTATGGAAGTTTATTGTTAAGCCTTAAGCTACAGTGAGTTTGCAAAATCATCTGCCTCTTTTGTTAGAACTTGCTTTACTTTGTCTTTGGATGTGGGCTTTTCCTGTAGGAATGCCTTCCAGCACCTTCTGCCCCCTGCAGTCCAAAGCTAAAAATGTGTCAACAAAGTCAGTCTGCTCCTGGTTGTAAAGTAAATTCCTTTAAAATTCATGGAGTCGTCAGGGATGATGTATCACTGTGAAGACTATTATGTTTTTATTTCCTAGAACAGCAAACAGACTCAATTAAGATTGACTAAAAAGCTATGCAAAGCTTAAAGTTAAAAAGATACCTCTTTGAGAACTTCACCCTCAAACACTAGAGTTTCATAGGTTATAAAATTTACATTGTGTCACTTTTGGATTTGAAAGGCTATTAAGCACTTGTTAGACAAAACATTTTAAAGTTCAAAATGGTGTTAAAATGTCTGTAAAAGTCAAACTGTCCTCAATTTTCACTGAACTTTGATTTAAATACTCAGTGGGGCTTGGGAATTCTTAACATTTCTGGTAGGATTAAAGTATTTACCACCAAAGTGGCTTCCTTTGTGGGCTGCATATTCAATTTTCTTTGTCATGGAAGAATTAAAGACTGATGGGTAGGGTAGCATTCTAGGTTCATAACAAATCTTTTGTGAAAGGAAAAAAGCATTTAAAATGTACTGTATGTGTCCACTGGAGTATTGTCTCTAGTTAGCAATGACCTTAAAGACAAGATTGTGAGGTGCAGTTCCACATTACCCAGCACCCTTCTTGTGATGACTTACTTCCTTCAAGTGCAGTTTGTCTTTTCTAAGCATCATGTTAAAAAAAGAAAGAAAGAAAGAAATTATATCTCAATTGGCCACAGCAAGAACGACTCTGGCAATTAATTGGTTGAATGTATGTACCATTTGTGGCGATAGTCTTGACTGCTCCTCCAGGCCTTTCCATGGAGACCCAGGCCCAGGCTGAAAGCTTCACACTCAGTAGTTGAGAAAACACAAGGAGATGGAATAGTCCAAGCAAAGATGCTTTGAGATGGTCGCCCTGCTGATGAGAGTGAGTGACGGTGGGCCTTGTCCTTTCTCAGGCATCCTTGCGGCGTCTGGCAGTGACACCGAGGATGAAGACAGCATGGATGTTCCCCTGGACCTTTCCTCTTCAGCAGCCTCTGGCAAGAGACGGAGGAGAGGCAATCTGCCCAAGGAGTCTGTCCAGATTCTTCGGGACTGGCTGTACGAGCACAGATACAACGCGTATCCCTCAGAGCAAGAAAAAGCGCTGCTGTCCCAGCAGACACACCTATCTACACTGCAGGTAGGGGGAAAGCTAAAGGTTAGTGCCAAGAGCTTCACCTCACCCCTGTGCAGGGCTGTGGTGCTGGACTACCACAGCCAAGCTGTGCCCCTAACCTCAGCATACACTTTTATTCTTCACCATCAGACATTTTACAGCATTCCCATGTGTCGTGTCATTAAGCTCTTCCCTAGGTCCCCCCCATCCAGAGAGAGAGAGAGAAGCAGGATCTTTCCCTTTTAGACTTTATAGTGTGAAAAGCTAATAATTGGCTATTTATAGAGGACAGAAACACTTGACACTCATCTGTCAGGAAACATTTCCTTCAATGGCTGAAAGAACCTGTGCAGTGTGTATTGAGGAGGTTAAACCTTATTCTATTGCCCAGGAAACTGGTTTGATATTTAAACAAGGACAGACCTCAGTGAGGTAATTCATGTTATGTCTGTTGACACAGTCATTTGAACTGAGGGAAATCAGTTACTGGGGGGGGTGTGGCCTCTTTTATACAGGAAAAGCTTTCCTGTAGTTGATTAACTCAGATGCTAGGGCAGTGGGTAGTAGGTTGAAACAGACTTGAAGGTGAGCCTTCCTTAAAGTTGTTGTCAAGTTTAAGGTTGTATACCTTTTCCTTGTTCGTGAAAGGGTCATGGATGACGACACATCCAAAGCAAATTTGTACTTATGGCAGACAGGCTGCTTCTCTCTCTCTCTCTCTCTCTCTCTCTCTCTCTCTCTCTCTCTCTCTCTCTCTCTCTCTCTCTCTCTCTCTCTCTCTCTCTCTCTGTGTGTGTGTCTGTCTGTCTGTCTGTCTGTCTGTCTGTCTCTCCCCTGCATTTTATTTTTTTATCATTGCTGTTGTGCCCTCCCCTCCCCCCCAATACTAGGCAAATGTTCTACCATTGATTGAACTACCTCCTCAGTCCAGATAAGCCCTGTTCCGCCTCCTTTACTTCAGTTAGGCACCCTTCATTGGATGTTTTCAGAACCTGTTTGTTGAGTGCGTGGAGAAAGTGTTGAAGCCTATCCCTGTGATTTCAGGTCTGTAACTGGTTCATCAACGCCCGCCGCAGGCTCCTCCCTGACATGCTGAGAAAGGATGGCAAAGATCCAAACCAGTTCACGATCTCCCGCCGTGGGGCCAAGATTTCCGAAGCTAGCTCTGTGGAAGCTGCAATGGGTATCAAAAACTTCATGCCTGCTCTAGATGAGAGGCCGTTTCATTCCTGCACAGCTGGACCCACCCAACCCCTAGGGAGGCCAGCGTCTCCCAAGCCTTCCTCCCCGGGATCCATTTTGGCTCGCCCATCAGTGATCTGCCATACCACTGTGACTGCACTGAAAGACGGGCCCTTCTCTCTCTGCCAGCCGGTTAGTGTGGGACAGAGCGCAGATGTACAGCAGATAACAGCCGGCAACTTTACAGATACCTCTCTCATGTACCCAGAGGACACTTGCAAATCTGGACCGAGTCCAAACCCTCAGAGTGGTCTTTTCAACACTCCTCCCCCGACTCCGCCGGACCTCAACCAGGATTTTAGCGGGTTCCAGCTTCTAGTGGATGTTGCACTCAAACGGGCGGCAGAGATGGAGCTTCAGGCGAAACTCACAGCTTAACCCTTTTCCAGACAAAACAGTTCTCTAAAACATGGTCCTGATTGTCAGGGTGATGGCAAGAGATGCATTATTTTATATTTTTTCTATTAATATTTGCACATGGGATTGCTCAATTGAAGCTTCCTGTTACTAAGATGTCTTCAGTGGAATACAGTCATTCCAAGAACTACAAACTAAAGCTACTGCAGAAACAAAGGGTTCTCTTTTTTAAATGTTTCTTGGTAGATTTTTCAGAATGTGAGATGTTCCCAGTATCATGTGATCTTCTCCCGCTCCCCTCCTTGATGTTTTTTTTTTTTTTCTTCTCCAGACTGTGCAATACTTAGAAGCCGTAGTGTCTATTTCCATGTGGAACAGGATACCCACATACAGTCTAATGAGTAAACTTTCAGTTTTTTTTTTTTTTTTTTTTTAGATTCAAGCAAGTATGAATATAGTTGTTGGATATCTTTTTTTTTTTCATGATGTAATAAAGTATTTTCTTTAAAAGTTATGGCAACAAAGAGTATTTTCTTGAAGGAAGCACTAAGAGCCCAGTAGGAATATAGTGCACCCATGAGCAGGAAGTTGGGGGCAGGGAGGACTATGACTTAGGGGTGTGTGTCACTGCTTTTAAAGAGCTGTGGACAACAGACCAGTATGAATAAACAGGATGTATGATATCTACTCTTGATTGGAGGGGGAGCTGGTCCCTTCAGTCTTACTTAGAGATGAATGGTAAATTGTATTCTAATGAGCTATCAGCATTTAGTTAGCTGATCACTAAATCAATAATGAGTTCCTACATATTTCAGACAGGACCATGTTAAACGAAAAGCTTCAAGCAACTGGTCATAGCTTAATTTTTTACAAGTAAGCAGTACAAGCAATTTTCATGTCTTTCTAATATTTGTTCTGGTGTTACAGGTGGTACAGGTTTTTGCATCTGAGTACAGCGCTTATTTGTCACCTTTGATACACTTTTAAAGCATCTTCCAGAATCCAGGAAAGTACCATCTATGATGATATTCTGAGTTTTATTAAACTTTCCAAGGTCATAAGTTTGAAAAAATGATGCCATGTACAAGTAGAGTTTGTTGGGATAGAAAATTACTTACAAAGCCTTGTTGGCCAGAAGGGAATTGGTTGTGTTCCTTTGGCTTGTCACATGCCACAGAACCATTCTTACCAAGCCATGCTTACTGTGAAGTTCCTTTGTTGTTAAAAGCCCTGTCCTCTGTCCCTCCCGCAGCATGAGCTGTGCAAAGTTGGGAGGGTTCATCACAGCTTCTGCTTGGCATTTTCAGACAGCAGCAGATTCTCACACCGTTAAGTTTACCCAAATGTGAAAGTGGCTGCTACAGAAAAAGATACACTCAGAAAATTTCTTTGTAAGTGAAACAGAAAATCTTGACAGTGAACAGCAGCCTAGAAGTGTAACAAAACAAAAGGAAACGATTTAGGGCCAGTTCTGTCAGAAGGTTGCCTGACCATAGTACAAACACAATGAAGGTTGTTAAAGCTGGGTCAAAGGTTACTAACTTTAAGTCCAACAGAACGATTACCCAGGTTAAGGTGTTAATCACATTAGAGGACAGTGAGGAGAACCCAAAGAGATAACTCAAGCCTAAGGAATGCACAAGGCCCCCGGCCAAAAAAAAAAAAAAGTGACAAGGTAAGGGTTAATGGTTTATGCAGTTTTCCTTGTTTGAGCTCCTTACAGATCCTAGTTTCCAATAGCTGACATTGAGTAAATATAAGCCATTATGTTGAAACATGTCATTCATAAGCTTTTATATCAGCCAGGCATGACAGCACACCTGTAATCCCAGCCCCTGAAGAAGCAAGAGAAGCCAAGTTTGAAGCCATCCTGGGTTACTTTTTATTGTTTTGTTTTTGCTTTTCCAGACAGGGTTTCTCTCTGTCCTGGCTGTCCTGGAACTCAAACCAGTCTGGACTCAGAGATCCACCTGCCTCTACCTCTCAAGTGCTGGGATTAAAGGCATACACCACCACTGCCCAGTTACCTGGGCTATTTTTATTTATTTATTTATTTATTTTGAGACCCAGACTTAAAACTTTGGTCAGGAGATTGCTTGCCTAGCATGCAGATGACCCTGGGTTCTGTCTCCCATGACATCAACTGGGCAAGGTGGCACATATAAGTAATCCCAGACTCTATTCAAAGTTATGCTTTGCTACATTGTGAGCTTGGCCAGCCTGGGCAACTTAAGACCCTATCTCAAACTATTCTATCAAACCCAAATAGAAATTATTTGTCTACTGTGTACATGGTATCATTTTCATTTGTTTACTTTTCATCTCATAGGGCATATGTAATTGGGTTCTTTCATTTAATCTGTCTTTGAATCAATGTATTTAGTCACTTTACACCTAATATATTTCCAGCACCATGCCCAGCTGTCTGATATATTTGTACTCTGTATATGCTTGTTTTTTCCTTTGTATTCCTCCATTTTTGCCTTGAAGTTTTATTAGTATTTTCTATTTTTTTTTTTCAGTCATGAACTATACTGTTAGTTTATTTGTTGTGTTTCTTTAAGAGATAGTCTCACTAAGAGACTGAGTTCAGGCTGGCCTTGAACTCAAGACATATCGACCTGACTCTGTCTCCCAAGTTTTGGAATCAAAGGCATTCACCACTGCACCCAGCTGCACTGCTAATTTGGCTAGTTATTGTAGGGATTATAGCATGTATCTTTAGTTTATTGAAGTCTCCAGCAAGTTCTGTTCACCTAATCTGCTTTGCTTTCTTGTGTCTGTGACAATACACATGCATCTATATGCTTGGTCTGGCTTGGTTGGGTATGCTTTTAGTCCTGGCACTAGGGAGGCAGAGACAGAGAGATCACTGTGAGTCTCAAGCCATCCAGGGCTGCTAAGTGAGACCCTCTCTCAAAAAGACAAAACAAAACAACCACAACAAAAAAACCCCAATAATACTGGTTTAGCATTTCCAGTGCCTTCCAAACTTTCCTGTCAATTCAAGTGGCATCTCTGTCATTCCTCCTAAGCTGGAGGAAGCTCCTACAGGTGTGTAGTATGAAATAGTTCAGTGAGAAACCAAGCCTAAGTAACCTTAGTTCAATTCTCAGGCCACCCCTGGAGAGAATATTTTATTTTTTATTGAACTTGATTTCACTTTTATCTCGGAGGTGTACTTTCACTGATGGAGAATTTTGGGTTGGTACTTGTTTTCCTTTGTCCCCATTGTTCAGAGGGGACACCTGCTATTGCCTCTTTTGTCTTTTCCTTACGTGGAGTCTATTTGCTTGGCTGTGTTATTTTAGAATTTCAACCGTTGAACCTTGATGTGACTAAGTGGGGTTTTCTTATGTTTTTATTCACCTTTGCTTTGTATTGTCTTGGAGTTCCTTGAACATCTTGGATGTATAAGTAAAATAAGGGAAGTTTTAGCCGTTAGCTTTTTGTTTGTTTTGTTCTGTTCTGTTCTGTTTTGTCTTTTGAGACAGGGTTTCTCTTGGTAGCCTTGGCTGGCCATTCCATTTTTAAAATACATTTTCTATTTTCTTCTCTACTAAAATGCCAATAAACTTATATTAGGTCACCGGAGATCGCCTTACATATTTATAAGGTCTATATCTTCACTATATTTCAAATTCAGTAATTCATCTAGTTAATTTTCAGCTTATTCTTTGTCTTCAATCTGCTATTGGGTCTATCTCAGGTCATTTTAAGTTGTATTTATATATATAGGTTTCCATTTGCCAAGGAACAGAACCCAGGCCTCATCTTCTCTGCTAGTACTTAGTTCTTTACCATGGAGCTACACCCCAGACTCCCATCTGATCCTGATGCTTTGTTTTAAGATGAGGTCTCCCCTTGTAGACCAGGCTAGCCCGGGACTTGAAGTGACCCTCCTGCTTTTGTTTCCTGAGTGCTGTTATTGAAAGAGCACACCAGCACACCCAGCTTTCTTTCTGAAAAGTCGTTTCTAGTCTATTGTGACCATTGACTTATTAATTATATATGATTTCTGTGTAAGCTCTTTCTCAGTCACTGTCCATTTTATTTACCGCGCAGGGTTTGCTCCTGAACCTGGAGCCTCACGCTGAGGATCACCAAGACTGCGGAGTGCTTGGATTACAGGTGGGCTGTTGTGCCCACTCGAGCTTTTATGGTGGGGGCTGGAGTTCTGAGCTTGTTCCCACACTTGCATGGCAAACACTACCCACCATGAGCCGTCACCCCAGTCTCTCATGGGCTATTTATGATCGGCAGCCTCAAAGCACTTGTCCGCCAATTGTAATGTGTCATAATAGGCTAAGTCTCCGTTGGTAGCCTTTTACTTCAGTGAGAGGTCAACTTTGGGGGTCAGTCTTTTTTAACTACGCACTGGCATTGTGGATGGGATGTTAGTAAATGGTTCTATGACATTCCTCTGAAGAGTTAGTTTTTGTCTTCAGGCAGTTTTCCATCCCACTCTTGTAGCTGAAGTCTGAACCTGTCCTTTCACTATCTTGCAGGCTGGGGCCACCCCTCCACCCCCAAGAGCATTGCTCTCCCCAGCACAGGCTGAGACTTGCCCCTGCAACTACAGTGTTTCCCCAAACCTTCATAACTTTTCTGCTTTGTCCACCCCCAAGTCTTTCCATGACATCTTTAAAAAAAAAATAAGTTTGTAAACTTACTTGCTTTATCTCCCTGAATGTTTTGCCTGCGTGTATGTATGTTGGTTCTGGATGAACCCTGGTCCTCTGGAGAGCAACCCAAGAGCCATCACTCCAGCCTTCTTCCATGACATGTTAAGCCACGAGGGCTGTAGTGTTCAGCCATGGCTAGGCGTGTGAAGAACAAGGGTTACACGGCGAGTACACATTTAAATTCCTCTCTCTCTTTTGTTTTTTGAGACAGGGTTTCTCTGTATTGCTTTGGATGTTGTCTTGGATCTTGCTCTGTAGATCAGGCTGGCCTTGAACTCACAGAGATCTGCTTGTCTCTGCCTCCCAAGTGCTGGGTCTAAAGGCATGTGCCACCAATGCCCAGCTTAAATTCCCTTCTCTTAATTGAGACAGTTTTCCAGATTCTACCCAGTTTTGCTGACATTTTGCTTGATTATTTTGTGAAGGGGGTTGACTCGACTTACTATCCTAAATTCACCTTCCAGCTTCCTGATTCAATTAGCTCTTTATTTGTTAAATATTTTGTTCCTAGTTTGTAATTGTAACCTCGAATGCCATTAGCCTAGAAAAGAGTTTAGTATTACTGGAAATTAGAATGTTACTGTGCCTTTAAACTCAAAGTCAGTGGGAGAGGAAGGGGCGGGGCTAGCCTGACCATCCCAGACTGGCTTAGACAAATTCTGTCTCAGCCTCATTATTACAGCTGTCCACTACCATACCTGGTTTAAATCTTTTGTTTCAAGATTTATTTTATGCCTATAAGCGTTTCGAGTATATGCCTGGTGTCTAAGGGTTTCAGAGAAGGGTGTCAGATCTCCTGCATCTTACAGAAGGCAGTAAGTGGTGCTGGGAACTGAATTTAGGTCCTGTGCAAGAAAAGCAAGTTCTCTTAACTGCTGAGCTGTCTCTCTAGCCCCCTTAAATTTCTTCCTTTTTTGTTGTCTGTGTGTGTGGGATATTGGTGTTCGGACAGGGTTTCTCTGTATATCCCTGGCTGTCTTGAAATTCACTGTGTAGACCAGGCTGACCTCAAACTCACAAATCCACCTGCCTGTGCTGAGTTTAAAGTCTTGTGCTCCACCACGCACAGCCATTTAAGTCACTTACCTGAATATTAGAATTACTTTGAAAGTTTTAAGAACTATTGTGGCCTGGGGCTGGGAAAACCTCTGCCATGAATAATATATATTGTTTTTGTTTTTCAAGACAGGGTTTCTCTGTGTACTCTCTTCTAGAACTTTGTAGACCAGGCTGGCCTCAAACTCACAGAGATCCACCTGCCTCTGCCTCCCTAGTGCTGGGATTAAAGGCTTTCACCACCACCGCCCGGCAACCCTTTAATACCTCTTACATTAGCCTTACTTTGTGCAGATGGTGTTACATGTAGCCAATCTAGGGATTGGCTTCTCGTGGAAGAGGCAGGCTCACCCTAAACTCCTGATCCCCTCCACCCCTTTTTTCCCTGTCTAGTTCTCTTACTTCAGCACTCAGGACCAAACCCAGAGCCTTGTGTTGGTTTTGCTGTGATCTGCTACTGAGCTAAAGCCCCACACCCTTGTTTCTCTTAGTAGGTGTTATCTATACTCTTGGGCAGAGGCTGGGCAGATGGAAGAACCCAACAGCACTCTAGGAAACAGAAGCCCAAGAAGAACACAGTCCTTTAATGTCACCCACTCAAAAGACAGCATGCCAGCTGTCTATACTCTTGGATCTGGTTTGGTGGCACACACCTTCAACCCCAGTACTCTGGAGGCAGGGAGAAGAGGCAATCTGTGAATTTGAGGGCAACCTGGTTGTGTAGTGAGTTCCAGGCCAGCCAGGGTAGGAATACACAATGAGAAGATGTCTCTAAAGAAAAATAAAAGGTTGCTGGGCAGTGGTGGTGCACACCTTTAGTCCCAGCACTTGGGAAACAGAGGCAAGTCTGTGAGTTTGAGGCCAGCCTGGTCTACACAGTGAGTTCCAGGACTGTTACACAGAGAAACCCTGTTTCCAAAAACAAACAAAAAAGAAGCAAAGCCCCTATTATGCCTGAAGCCACTTCAGGAAGGTGAAGATTCATTTTTATCTACCACCCCAGGCCCTGCCAAATGAATATGTATCTCTGAGACGTGGTCAAAGAACAAAAAGTAATATGTAGAGATCAGAGTGTTAGATCTTATTAAGCTCACTTATGGGAGAATGTGTGGGGTCTTGACCTCTCAAAGCCATGACTTGTAATTAAAAATAGACGGAACTTTATGATTTAGAGGTTGAAAAGAGAACTGCTTGGCAGACGAAGGAAAGGTAGCATAGGGCAGTGGTCACAGTAGCACAGCCAACAAACAAGGAAAGCGTGATTAATCGATGAGTAAGAATAGCAAGTTTTACAGAGATTTAACAAATGTCAAGGAAATAGGATTTCTGAATGAAGGGTTTTATAGACACCAACAGCCCGTGCAACCCTGGAGATAGCATGTGGGGGTGACTTGCACATGACTCAGTTCCCATGATGGAAATTTACTCAGCTTTAAGAGACTGCTTGCTGTAGGCAGACATTTAGCAAACAGCACTTGCAGGTAATTAAAAGGAAACCATGGGGAGATTTCGGGAGACATTTCAAGCTCCATTTCACTTATCTTCATTTTTATTTTTATGTGGTGTATATGTGTGGACCACCCCACATATATGGGGGTCAGAGGGCAACTTGTTGGAGTCAGTTTTCTTTCTCTAATGGAACCTGTGTCATAAAGCTTGCTGAGGAGAGCCTT